TATTACCATGATCATTATTTATTACCATGATCATTATTATTACCATTTCCAATATTATTATCATCATTATTATTATTATCACTATCATCATTATTATTGACATTACAATTAATACTGTCACCGCTGTTATGATCATCCTTATTATCATTGTTATTATTAATATCATTCTTATCATTATTTCTATTATCGTTATTATCATTATTACTATAATAACAATTGCCATTATTAATATTATCGTTATTACTATTATCATTATCATTAATATTATTATCATTATCATCCTTACTATAATTATTATCATTAGTATTATCATTATTCATTTATTATTCATTCACTTATCATTATCATTATCATTTTCAAAATATCTTTTTCTTATTTTTTCTATGATGATATTATTATTTCTATTCTGCTACTATTATTATTATCATTATTATCATATTATATTTTTTCATTACATTTTTTCATTTTTTCATCTCTCTCTCTCTCTCTCTCTCTTAACATCATCATTATTATCATTACTGTCATCATTAATATCATCATTATTACTATTACTCACCATTATCAACTAGCAACATCGTTTTTGGTATCATTATCATTATCAATTATCCTTATTGCCATTCGTATCCATTAATCTCATCTTACTATTATAATCAATACTATCATCATTTTTATAAATAAATATCGTTTATCTTTATTTTTTTCATTATCATATTTATCATTATTATCGTTATTATCTCTCTCGTTATTATTCCTAATGTCACGCATTCCGGCATATATACACACACATCCACAATACACCCAAACACACACGCTTTCTCTCTCTCTCTCTCTCTCTCTCACTCACACACACGCAAACACACTCACACACATACAAGCACATAGGCACGCATGCACGCACGCAAACACACACACATACACTCTCTCTCTCTCTCTCTCTAGATTCTGAGCCAATTGCCAGATTGAGATTGAGAGATTGGAAGTTCCAGATAGAAATAATTTTTAGGGATTGAAAATATTTGTATAATTCAGTGCCTTTTTAAATGTACTATTCATGAGTACCTGTAGAGCTGCTTTTTTACTCTCGTCTCTCTTTCATCCAATTATTTCCTCCTTCCTGTTCCTCGCCATTATTCTCCTTCTCCTTTATGCTTTCCGTTTATACCCACTTTCATTTTTCTTCCCTTAGAAAAAATGTTAGTAATCGAGCAAAGCAAAGGCAAGCAAAAGCAAGCAAGTCCAAGCAAAAGCAAGCAAGGTCAAGCAAAAGCAAGCAAGGTCAAGCAAAAGCAAGCAAGGTCATGCAAGTCATCCTCACCGCGAGCGTACACTCCGCCGGGAGAGACGGGTGAGTCATTGATCACATTTGTCTCTCTCCCCTTGTCCCGTTTCTTCCCGAATCACCTCTAACCCATTTTCTACCTTTGCCCCCTTTTTTGCATCTCCTTCCCCTTCCCAATCCCAGATTCCTCCAGTCCCCTCGCCCGCGCTTTCCCTCTTGCATTATTAACCTAACAAAAATGTATGAATCATCGTTTCTGCTTTTACGAAACGAACGGAAAACACATTTGAAAAGAAAAATAAATGCTTTCTCACACCAACGCATCAAAAAAAGTTTGTGAAACAAATTCTTGTTTCTCAAGGTCTTTTGTAATTATTGAAAAATATATTTTGCATTCAATCCAGAGTGTGATATGAATGCTGCTGCTGATACTGGTACATCAAACTACAGATTCATCTATCTCTTTCTCTCTCCCTCTCTCCCCCCTTTCTCTTTCTCCCCCTCTCTCTCTATCTTTTTCATTCTCCCTTTTTTCCATTCATATATTTTTCGACTATGCGAGGAGATATATATATATATATTTTATCTCACCTCTTTCTCGTTTTGTTCTTTTCCTTTTTCTTTCGTCCTTTTTTCCCTTTTTTCTAAAGTTTTTTACTTTCTTCAGGTCAACCAACTCCAGCAGCTGGTGCAACTCGCATCTCGGGTGAGGCAGGTCTATAATTTTTGCCGATTCTGTTCACTATTTTTATTTTTGTTTTAATTATTATATAATTTTGTATAATTATCATTGTCATCATACTCATTGTGAAATCATTAATAATCATATAAGGTTATCACTATTTTTATCAGGTATTGTAAAATGGTTGATTTTTAATTCCTTTGTTGTAATTATTATTATTATAATTTTGTATAATTATCATCATTGTGAAATCATTATAATCATACTCATCACTTTTTTTGTTATTTCACCACCAGTTTCCTCATGTTTCCTTAATGCGTCTTGATCATGACCGGAAGGCGTGGCCAAAGCTGCCTTGGCCTAATCTCCTGGGCCCTCTCCCCAGGAGCTCGTGGACGCGCCCCAGGGACAGGAGCGGCACCCGGTGGCGCTCGCAAAAGCGCCTGAGCACGTCGACCTCGACCGGCACTGGCCACCGCTGGGCCAAGAGTGCCTAAAATGCATGCCTGGAACTCGGCGGACTTCTTGACGGGCTGCGGTTCGATCTGGGGCCGGCTGGCCCTCCTCCTGCTCGTCGCTGCTGCGCCCCCGCTTCCGCTTCTGGGGCTCGGGGGAGGCGTCGCTCTCATGGGCCGCGGCCCTCCTCTTCGGCAGTGGCTCGTCTTCGTCACTGCGACGTGTAGCCAGGGTTCTCCGTCGGGCGGCGGGCAGGTAATGAAATCTCTAAGGCTGTGGGATGTTTTGCTTTACACCCTAAAGGAACTATGCATCCAATCTTTGTCTTTTTGTATTTTTGCCCATATTTTTTAGATACAGTTTTATCATTATTAAAAATGATAAAACTGTATTTGTTTATTTTCCTTCTGCCTCTGTCTCCTTTTCTGTCGTTTCTCTCTCTGTCTTTCATGGACAGAGGGCGAAGATGTTGGGGAGGGTGCAGGTAGCGGGGGAGTAGGAGAACAGGAGGTGACAGAGGCATTCTCATCTACAGGGATGATATCAGAATGGCTCTGTCGCCTCTCCTTCTGTCTCTGTCTCCTTTTCTGCCGTTGCTCTCTCTGTCTTTCATGGACAGAGGGGGGAGGTGTTGGGGAGGGTGCAGGTAGCGGGGGAGTAGGAGAACAGGAGGTGACAGAGGCATTCTCATCTACAGGGATGATATCAGAATGGCTCTGTCGCCTCTCCCTCTGCCTCTGTCTCCTTTTTTGTTATCGGAGTCGTTCTCTGACTTTCTGTTTTTCATGGCTAGAGGGAGATGTGGAGGATGACGACTTGGCCTCCAGCTCCTCTCCACGTCGTGCAGCAGCAGCCAGTTGGGCCTTGAAGTCGTCGGACTTGGCCTCCTGCTCCTCTGCAAGTCGTGCAGCAGCAGCCAGCTGGGCCTTGAGGCCGTCGGACTTGGCCTCCTGCTCCTCTGCAAGTCGTGCAGCAGCAGCCAGCTGGGCCTTGAGGTCGTCGGACTCGGCCTCCTGCTCCTCTGCAAGTCGTGCAGCAGCAGCAAGCTGGGCCTTGAGGCCGTCGGACTCGGCCTCCTGCTCCTCTGCAAGTCGTGCAGCAGCAGCCAGCTGGGCCTTGAGGCCGTCGGACTCGGCCTCCTGCTCCTCTGCAAGTCGTGCAGCAGCAGCAAGCTGGGCCTTGAGGCCGTCGGACTCGGCCTCCTGCTCCTCTGCAAGTCGTGCAGCAGCAGCAAGCTGGGCCTTGAGTCGGAGCAAGTCGTGCAGCAGCAGCCAGCTGGCCTTGAGGTCGTCGGACTCGGCCTCCTGCTCCTCTGCAAGTCGTGCAGCAGCAGCAAGCTGGGCCTTGAGCCGTCGGACTCGGCCTCCTGCTCCTCTGCAAGTCGTGCAGCAGCAGCAAGCTGGGCCTTGAGGCCGTCGGACTCGGCCTCCTGCTCCTCTGCAAGTCGTGCAGCAGCAGCAAGCTGGGCCTTGAGGCCGTCGGACTCGGCCTCCTGCTCCTCTGCAAGTCGTGCAGCAGCAGCCAGCTGGGCCTTGAGGCCGTCGGACTCGGCTCCTCTGCAAGTCGTGCAGCAGCAGCAAGCTGGGCCTTGAGGCCGTCGGACTCGGCCTCCTGCTCCTCTGCAAGTCGTGCAGCAGCAGCAAGCTGGGCCTTGAGGCCGTCGGACTCGGCCTCCTGCTCCTCTGCAAGTCGTGCAGCAGCAGCAAGCTGGGCCTTTCGGAGCTCCTCTGCAAGTCGTGCAGCAGCAGCAAGCTGGGCCTTGAGGCCGTCATCCTGCTCCTCTGCAAGTCGTGCTGGCCTTGAGACTTGGCCTCCTGCTCCTCTGCAAGTCGTGCAGCAGCAGCAAGCTGGGCCTTGAGGCCGTCGGACTCGACCTCCAGCTCGTGCTCCCGACGGGCGGCAGCTTCCTTCCTCTTCCTCAGGACTGAAAAAGTAATGAATGCAGCAGTTATTGCCGCAATTATGGAAATCCCGTAAAGCATGGCCATATTATTGTTTTTACTGTTCTTTTTCACTAGTTTTTCCAGTGATTATATTCTTTTCCTATTGCATTTGGTTTGGGGCACTTAACCGTAGAGCCTGGGAACATACCAAGGCTGCTGTTCATATGTGCACGGCGTGAGCAAGTCGGGAGGGATGGACTTCAGCTACTTAATGAGCTGAAGTATTTTATGTTTTTGTTGGGTAACTTGCATATCATATTTTCTTTATGCATATTAAATACTGCCGAATAAGATGGCAACAATCAAAAAAATAATTTTTTTCATTAATAATAATAATTATTCTGTGTTCCACATAAACATTAGTAAAGACGTTATGTACATATGAATAATATAATAATAATATAATAATAATAATAATATAATATATTACCGTCCTACCGTCCATGCTCCTCTCTTCTTCCTGCTGTCCGTCATCCATGCTCTTCTTCCTGTGCCGTCCGTCGTCCATGCTCTTCTCTTCCCGCAGTCCGTCATCCATGCTCTTCTTCCTGCCTTCCGTCGTCCATGCTCTTCTCTTCCGCAGTCCGTCATCCATGCTCTTCTTCCTGCCTTCCGTCGTCCATGCTCTATCCTCTTCTTCCTGCTGTCCGTCATCCATGCTCTTCTTCTTCCTGCCTTCCGTCGTCCATGCTCTTCTCTTCTTCCTGCTGTCCGTCATCCATGCTCTTCTTCCTGTGCCGTCCGTCGTCCATGCTCTATCCTCTTCTTCCTGCTGTCCGTCGTCCATGCTCTTCTTCTTCCTGCCTTCCGTCGTCCATGCTCTTCTCTTCCCGCAGTCCGTCATCCATGCGTCCGTCATCGATGCTCTTCTTCCTGTCCCGTCCGTCGTCCATGCTCTTCTCTTCCCGCAGTCCGTCATCCATGGCAGTCCGTCATCGATGCTCTTCTTCCTGTGCCGTCCGTTGTCCATGCTCTTCTCTTCCCGCAGTCCGTCATCCATGCTCTTCTTCCTGTCCCGTCCGTCGTCCATGCTCTTCTCTTCTTCCCGCAGTCCGTCATCCATGCTCTTCTTCTTCCTGCCTTCCGTCGTCCATGCTCTTCTCTTCCCGCAGTCCGTCATCGATGCTCTTCTTCCTGTGCCGTCCATCGTCCGTCCGTCGTCATCTTCTCTTCTTCCTGTGCCGTCCGTTGTCCATGCTCTTCTTCTCTTCTTCCCGCAGTCCGTCATCCATGCTCTTCTTCTTCCTGCCTTCCGTCGTCCATGCTCTTCTCTTCTTCCCGCAGTCCGTCATCGATGCTCTTCTTCCTGTCTTCTTCTTCCTGTGCCGTCCATCGTCCATGCTCTTCTCTTCTTCCCGCAGTCCGTCATCGATGCTCTTCTTCCTGTGCCGTCCGTTGTCCATGCTCTTCTTCTTCCTGCCTTCCGTCGTCCATGCTCTTCTCTTCTTCCCGCAGTCCGTCATCCATGCTCTTCTTCTTCCTGCCTTCCGTCGTCCATGCTTCTCTTCTTCCGCAGTCCGTTCCATGCTCTTCTTCCTGCCTTCCGTCGTCCATCTCTTCCCGCAGTCCGTCAGTCCGTCGTCCATGCTCCTCTCTTCTTCCTGCTGTCCGTCATCCATGCTCTTCTTCCTGTGCCGTCCATCGTCCATGCTCTTCTCTTCTTCCCGCAGTCCGTCATCCATGCTCTTCTTCCTGTGCCGTCCATCGTCCATGCTCTTCTCTTCTTCCCGCAGTCCGTCATCCATGCTCTTCTTCCTGTGCGTCCGTCATCCATGCTCTTCTTTCTTCCTGCCTTCCGTCGTCCATGCTCTTCTCTTCCCGCAGTCCGTCATCCATGCTCTTCTTCTTCCTGCCTTCCGTCGTCCATGCTCCTCTCTTCTTCCTGCTGTCCGTCATCCATGCTCTTCTTCCTGTGCCGTCCGTCATCGATCGTCCATGCTCTTCTCTTCTTCCCGCCAGTCCGTCGTCCATGCTCTTCTCTTCTTCCCGCAGTCCGTCATCCATGCTCTCTTCTGCGTCGTCCATGCTCTTCTTCCGCAGTCCGTCATCCATGCTCTTCTTCCTGTCGTCCGTCTCGATGCTCTTCTTCCTGTGCCGTCCGTCGTCCATGCTCTTCTCTTCTTCCCGCAGTCCGTCATCCATGCTCTTCTTCCTGCCTTCCGTCGTCCATGCTCTTCTCTTCCCGCAGTCCGTCATCCATGCTCTTCTTCCTGTGCCGTCCGTCCATGCTCTTCTCTTCTTCCCGCAGTCGTCATCAGTCCGTCATCGATGCTCTTCTTCCTGTGCCGTCCGTCATCGATGCTCTTCTTCCTGTTCCGTCGTCCATGCTCCTCTCTTCTTCCCGCAGTCCGTCATCCATGCTCTTCTTCTTCCTGCCTTCCGTCGTCCATGCTTTCTCTTTCTTCCCGCAGTCCGTCATCCATGCTCTTCTTCTTCCTGCCTTCCGTCGTCCATGCTCTTCTCTTCCCGCAGTCCGTCATCCATGCTCTTCTTCTTCCTGCCTTCCGTCGTCCATGCTCTTCTCTTCCCGCAGTCCGTCATCCATGCTGTTCTTCTGTGCCGTCCGTCATCGAGTCCATAGTCCGTCATCGATGCTCTTCTTCCTGTGCCGTCCGTTGTCCATGCTCTTCTCTTCTTCCCGCAGTCCGTCATCCATGCTCTTCTTCTTCCTGCCTTCCGTCCATGCTCTTCTCTTCCGCAGTCCGTCATCCATGCTCTTCTTCTTCCTGCCTTCCGTGGTCCATGCTCTTCTCTTCCCGCAGTCCGTCATCCATGCTCTTCTTCCTGCCTTCCGTCGTCCATGCTCTCTCTTCTTCCCGCAGTCCGTCATCCATGCTCTTCTTCCTGCCTTCCGTCGTCCATGCTCTTCTCTTCTTCCCGCAGTCCGTCATCCATGCTCTTCTTCCTGCCTTCCGTCGTCCATGCTCTTCTCTTCTTCCCGCAGTCCGTCATCGATGCTCTTCTTCTTCCTGCCTTCCGTCGTCCATGCTCTTCTCTTCTTCCCGCAGTCCGTCATCGATGCTCTTCTCTTCTTCCCGCAGTCCGTCATCGATGCTCTTCTTCTTCCTGCCGTCCGTCGTCCATGCTCTTCTCTTCTTCCCGCAGTCCGTCATCCATGCTCTTCTTCTTCCTGCCTTCCG